GTAGGTGCATGGGACACATCTTTGATGGAGATGAAAAGAATTTTCACGGGTGTAAAATGCAGTGTCCTGCTTGGCGGCAAAATGAAAACAAAAATGAAAAGTCTGTAAGAAGCTTGCTTTGCTGTTGGAAAAGGTGAGGTAGTGCTGCAGCCCATAGCTGCCAGGAGGGAAAGAAGGCATCCATGGGAGGTGATTATTTTGTGTATTTGTTTTGTGAGTTGGCTGCTTCAGCAGGTTCCCAGCAGTTACCGGGTTCCTCAGCTCCCCGCCACACCAGCAAGGGAAGTGAGAGTAGGTCCATCCTTTCATTAGCAAGAACCTGAAAGGAGGCTGCTTAAGATGGATGCAGTCCACAAGAGACATTCTGACCACGCGCCAGCTTAAGCTGAGTAGCTTAACCTGTGTGTAAAACCTTTGGGATAGAAACATCCCTCCTGAGAGATGAACATGCTGTCCATGGCCTGTTTCTAGTCAGCTGCACTGGAGCTATCTGGAGCTCGTGGTGGGAACGCGCCATGCCCCAGGGCTGTGAGGGAAAGCAGACCCTCCTCGTGGGCCTTTGCCCACACTCCCTTAGCGAGCGGCTCCGAGCAGAAATGCCAGGTTGAAAATGCAGGTGCTGTTTTTTTCTTGGATGAGACTATTCGAATACTGGTGATTGGCAGAAGGCGTATTTGGAATAAGGGTGGTATGGGGTAGTACAGATTCCCAGTATAGATACCACGAGGATTTCAGAGCTGCCTGTTACATTGGGTAAACTTGCTCCTGCAGAACGCTATTTTTTGCTCTCCCGTGGGACTGTTGGAAAGTCAGTATCCACATAAACGTTTGTTCTCCCCTTTGCTTCCATGTGCTTTGAACCAGAGCTGGTTTCAAATACATTAAACAAGTCAATATCAGCTGGTTCTCAATTTGAGTGGGAAAGAGGGTTTTTCAGGATTCTTTTCATAGCTGATTGATAGAAAAATGCCCACTGACTTCTTGGTCTTGAGACCGAGAGTCCCAAAAGCAACCTGAAGACCTGAAGCAACTTGTGAACTAGCTCTCCGATGCTTCTGTAGGTGCCGGGCCTCGGATTTGATTACAGATCTCACCTGTCCTTAAAAGAGCCGTGTGGAGGGCCCTCTAGGAAGGTCCCCAGCTGCACTGTTAGCTCAGCAGCAGCCTCCTGAGACGGCCATGGGGGACAGCGAGGGCAGTGATTGCCATAAAACAAGGCCAAGCGCCCAGGTGAGTGAGAGGAGGCCGGGTGCCCAGGTGAGTAGGGCCACGAGGCACCTTGCAGAGCGCAGGGCCCACGTGAGGGGGCCAGCCCCACTGGGGGTGACTGCACGTGGGTGCCTGAGATGCACACGGACCTGCCAGGAGGATTCACGGTCAGTTGGGCTACAGCCTTCACCTCACCGGTTTGCAGATGCGGCCGTTGCGCTGCCGAAAAAGGGGAAAAAAAGGGGAAAAAAATCAGCAAAGGCACAGAAAATGAGCCGTGGCTGTCGTGAAAATATACAGCTTAAAGATTGCTCTCTGAGGTAGTGAAAGAAGATGGAAGGTAGCCAATAGCAGCTGCAAAGCATACGGGAACCTGGCTGCAAGGAATGATGCTCGTAAAAATCTAGTGGGATTCCAAGTAATATAAGACTTGCAGTAAAAGACGTGGCAGTAACATCAACAAAATGGAAGAAGACTTGCTCTAAAAATGCTTCCCTTCAGCTGATGTTGTCAGTGTGGGCACATATAAGAAACAGCATTAGGTTCCCGCATCTAAAGAGAGTGTGTTTTTATTTCACATGTTGATCACATAGCCTCTGCTTCTCAGCCCTCCGTGGAGTGAATTATTCATCACAACATCACTCAGTGTAAACCCAAGGGTACCGCCGAATTCATAAGCAGAGTCTTCTCTTCAAACTTGCGGGTAGGAAGTTTATGCTGTTGATCCTCAGTGTACAAACTGGCTGTTGCTGTGTGACAGGCAAGAGGAAAGCATCACTGAATACAGCAGTATTACACTGCTGCCCAGCTGCATTAGGTGTGTCAGAGAAGACCCTGACTTTCAGGGCCCTTTCTGTTGCAGATGGATGAGATGTTAAAGGCCTGGAGCAGTGGAAATGCAGCCAGTGTTTCATGGCCAAGGCAAAGGGGCTGGCACTTGTCAGAATAGAAGAGAAGGGAAGAAACAGAGAGAAATTAGGGCTTGCTAGCGATTAGCTTCCGCGACTAAAGAAGGCAGAGCTATCTTTAAATATCACAGAAACCTACATGTTTTCAGAAATGATTGGTTGAATCATTTGAAATGAAATGACTGAATGAAAATGGTTCAGTGAAAAATGATTGAAAATGATTTCCAACTTCTCCAATCTATGTGTTTTGGTAGAGTTCRTTTTTCAAAAGGCAAGTGCCCAGTGTTTTTGCAATGAGGATTCCTTAGGGCTTCTCAGGTTGGAAGACCTAAYCCTTAGGCATCCCTTTGAAAAATCCTGTCCATCAAGAGCTAAACTGAGTGGGAATAGCAGTATCAGCAAATGCTTAGATAATGGAAAAATGAGTTGCATAAAATTAATAGTGTTTTACAAGTTGTCTCCAAGGCCATTTCACTGACTTCAGTTCTGGTCTCAAAAACTGCAGTAGCTTCCAAATGGCAAATCCTTTGAGCTCTTCTGTACAGGATGCTTCAAGTCTTAAAGGCATAATTTTGCTTCCAGTATGTTCTAAAGTATCAAAATGTGCTGCTAGGAGTAGTGTTTTGGATCTGTGATCATGGAGCAGGAGTCTGGTCCTAGGGCAGTCTTGCATATACCGAGACGCAACAGGGCTGGTAGGTGGTATCCTCAGAACACCGTTCGATTTTGTGGGTGTCTTCAGCTCTGAGAGACCCATCTGTCCTGGTCAACAGAGCTGTTTCCCTAGGCTGATACCAACACATCTTCCTCCGTGTATCAAGAAGCTCTTCTCAGGTGCTGATATATGCACGTGCATAATATCAGTATCTCTTAGTAGATAAAATAAGCTTAATAACACAAAGTATTTTTATAAGGCAACTTTTAATACAAATGGGGAATTAATGTTYTCCCCTTAGAGTGGTTCAGCTTCTTTGATAGTCTCTTGCAGAAGAYGTAGAAAATGAGAAGAAAGTAATGCTTTAGCTATTACTTTAATTGTATTTCTTCAATTATTCACATCTTTTCAGGACCTCAGTAGTAGCATATCCCATGCTACTCATGTCATGGTATTTTCACTTGAAGCTGTTTGGTCTCAGTATTTCTGAAAATCTTGATTCAGTAGAGCAAACAATTYAAGGCTTAACTCCAGGCCTCAGTAATCCAGAGCATTATTCTTTTGGGAATATGGTCTTTGGGAATGGCAAAGCTAGAAATTATTTCATCCATCTCAAGATTSCCCTCCTGCAAAAGTCTTCCAGGTCAGCACTAACCTTTCAGCCCTAGGCAAACAGCAGACGTACAGTTAACGCRCTGCGGACCCGCTGTAGTAGAAATGTCCATTTCTGACTGATGACATCCTAATAACAGATCTGTTTGGAAAAAGGAGTCAGTGCCCCGTACGGCAGCTCCCAGGCTCCTCAGGATTTGGCCAATCTAGGAGCAGGCAAGTGCAAGGTAGCCAGTACATTTTCTTTTCAGTACTCCTCCGAAGCAGAGCTTTGGTGTGCCTGTGGGGAGCTGCTCCAGTGCTCCTGTGCCTGGAAACTCTGCACATGGGATGACTTTGTGCTTAAACCCCAAGTCCCACTCCCCATTTTTACTTCAGGTTTGCATGTGTGCATTCTTCAAACGTGTACTGAGGCATTATTTACAAACAAATCCCCGAGCTTTGTTTGCACAAATGGCCAGTGACTTCCTAGCTGGTTGAAGGAGGTGCTCTTTGGTCTTAGCGTGCAGTAAATAAAGGTAAGTAACTCAGTGGCATATGCTTATGGAGCATGTGTAAAAATTTTCAGTTCTGGTTACTGAAAAATAATCCTTGCCCGCTGCTTTGATTGTATTGGATTGCTTACACAGCAGCACCTGCACTTTTAATATGGGCTTTTGTGGATGGTGATTTTTTTGGCATCAATTCCACTATCCCCACTCTGTGTTTTACAAAATGACTGCAGGAACCATGGATGTAACCGAGATGGCTACTTTAGGCGATCCAGGCTTTCTGGCAGTGTAGCAGGTTACAGCCAGGCACCAGGGCCTCAGTTTTCTACGTGCAGACTGTGTCAGTCACCCGCAGTAGCAAAAGGATAGTGGTACCTCTGACTGACTTTCATGGCCAAGGAGACTATATCATTAGTGAAATTCCTGGTACAGAAGAGCCTTTGCCCAAAATGCTGCCAAGATGAGAAGTGGTGCTGGGGGCCTCATGAGGCAGCTGGACTGCCAGCCCGGAGCTGGGAAGTGCCGGGATGCCCTGGCCCTGTGCTTCACGTAACGGGAGTGCTCTAGGGTTTAGATGATGAATTCGTCACCRTTAATCAGAGTCAAAAGCATGTGAAAAATAAGACATGGGCAAGCTGCTCCCATTATTTTTGGATGCTTACTAAGGCAGAGTTTTGGAGATTATACAGTCCTAGAGTCTCCTACAGATGAAAAGCTCCCACTAATTTTGCTTGGAGGGAGTTGCCAAGCAAACATCTCTGCAGTCTGCCAGTTCAGTTGTACTTCCCTGCAACTATTTTCTCTAAGGCAAATATAGCAATTAATTATAGTATTCTTTTTAAATCAGCGCTATCTGTCCAAGTATATTTAGATCAATAATCACGGCTGTTAGATGTGAGATTTCCAGAGGGGCAGCCCAAGCCTGAGGCTGCAGCCTCTGATTACTGATTCCGATAGGTGCTTTCCCTCTCCTGCTTTGAGGCCAAGTCTTTTTAGTTTTTAGTTTTAGACCWCTTGTGTTCAGGGAAAGAGCCAGAGAGTCGCTCAGGCCGCTCCGGTGCTGGCAGCAGATGCCCGTGTCGGCGCAGCCACCGCCTTCACGTGYCGCGTCTCCCTCTCTTGCAGCAGTTCAGCTTCGTCTCCCTGCCCACYGACGTCCTGGAGATAGAAGTAAAGGACAAATTCGCAAAGAGCCGGCCGATCATCAAGCGCTTCCTGGGAAAGCTTTCCATGCCGGTGCAGCGCCTCCTGGAGAGACACGCCATCGGGTAAACGCCAAGGTGCCGCGCGGCCGGGGAGGGGGCGCCATTTTGGAAGGGCCGCTGAAGGCCCTAGCGGGCTGCAGCTGAAATGGCGCGGCRGGGTTGTGGAGTTAACAGGAGGTACTAAACTGAAATGAAACGTCAGGAATGATGGTGGTGGTCCCGGTTAGAACTTATGGGGCTCTGGGCCAGCCACTGTATTCGCTCTGTAAGGTTTTCTGTGGCATTTTGAAACGTGAGAGCCGGCAGTTAAGAAATGCATTGTTCTGTGTGTGTCATGGCGCGAATCTGGAGAGTGCAATATTTTCAATTTGAATATTATCAAATATGTTCTAATATTATCAACAGGCTATTTTCATGTTTCAGGGAATGACCCGTGAGTTAAAGTCATGCCAGATCTGTTCTCTTTCTTTTAATTTCTGGACAGTGAAAATACTATTCTCTGTGAAAATACTAAATTTTTTGGACCCTTCCCTGCTGCCAAGGAATAACCAGTTCACTACAGCTCAGCTGCCCTGCCCTGCTTCCCCTTTGAGTGGATGTCCTAGGAAGGTGTGTGCGGCCAAGGTGGCAYGAATCAATTTGAGGAGGGCAGCTAGAGTAGAGGAAGCCAAAAAGGTGCCTTCCAACCGTAAGGTTTAGACCTTGAGAAGTAAGGAGAGAAGAAGCCATCTACTAAGGAGAGCATGGGCAATGCAGTTCCCAAGAAAGCATTTCTGAAAATTGGATCTCAACTCAGCAGAGCAGCAGAAAGCTGAGCTTGTTGGTAGTGTTTTTAGCAGCTGGTTCAGAAACTGGATGCGGTTTTGACAGCTGAATCTACCAGAAGTGACTAAACTATCTCCCTGTTTCCCAAGTAGRGGAGATGATAGAGTGGCTTTTCTGAAAGCAGATGGAAAAGAACAGCCTGGGCAAGATATAGCCCCATAGCTGGTATCACTGGCTTCCCTTAATGTGAGGGAATCCCTTCTCATTTTATCTTCTTGCTTTACTTTCTTGTTGCAAATGCTGTCTTTCAAAGGACAGTGCTCAAAGCAGTGCCTCAAGCCTGCACCTAGATCTGGCTTAGTTATAATACCTTAGCGGCTTATAAATTGCAGGGGAGTTCATACACACAAGCTGAGAAAGGTAATACACAAATCTTGAGATTGTCTCATTTATGGGAGTTTCCAGTGCATGCCAAACTACCCTAACCAATACAGTGGGCCCAACTGCAAGTGAACTATGTTTCCTCAAAAGCTGTATAAATATTACTATTCAGTGAACCCTCTGCACTCAAAAAACTGTTTTACAACCATTGATTCAGCCTTACTTGGGGCAGCTGGGAAGTTAATCTCTTCTGTAGTTTCATTCTGTTCTGAGGGGTGGATGAAGTGTGGCAAAGGGAGGGACCTGCCCAAGGACAGAATGGAGTCATTGATCAACCTTGTCAGGAAGGTGTTCTCCTGATATTACAGCTTCATAGAGGTAAGAGGGGTGGAAAAAAAGCTGCAGCGTAGACATTGAAGCAGTTTGAGTAGAGAAGATGGTAAGTGGGAACTGGCCTGCACAGGCTTTTGAAAGCAAGAACAGAAAAGCTTGAATTTTGTACAAAAGGTGAAGGGAAGGAAATACAGAAATGCAAAGTTCTGCATAGGGGTTAGATACTGTCAGATCAGCAGGGAACTGAAGTCTTCTTACAGTAGTGGCAGTGGGACTTGTTGGCTTCCCATGTTGATATTTTCATATCCATACTGCCGAAGTTCCATACCCACCACTCCCCCTCTCTATACATGCGTGCGTGTGTATCGCAACAGCCTGTCTTACTCACTGACTCAGCTGTTCCATTGTAATTGAAGACATTGTCCTCTCCTTCTCTGCCATTCGCTCTCTTGTATGCAAGTCGACATGCCCTCATGGCTGGTTTGAATAGCCTTTGAAAATCATTATTGTCTGTATTTTTGTAGGATTCAGCAGCTTTATCTATGCCCAGGAGACACTGCATAGGCTGCAGCCTGTCATGACAAGATCTGTTTTCTTGCAGGGACAGGGTTGTAAGCTACACTCTGGGCCGCAGGCTTCCTACAGATCACGTCAGTGGCCAGCTGCAGTTCCGATTTGAGATAACTTCTTCCATCCACCCAGGTAATTCTCTGGTTTAACCCGTTATCTAGGTCTGTTTTTTGCTTTGCATGCCTTTCTCCACAGGAATTTGACTTCATTCCTGAGTGCTCAGGGATGTTAGGCACAATCATGACCAAAGGAAAATGCCCTGTCATGGGAAGTATCGTGAGTCACAATTTATTCCCTGGTCCCCCTTAGTTCTCAGAGTTACTAATGTCTCATATCACCAGGTTCTCCGTTGCTTCAGATGGTCTGCGATGAAAGTTAAAATGGAGAGGGTAGGAAACTAAGCTCCCATCTGCTTCTCCATCATTTTTTCCGTAGAAGTGTTGAAAGGCAACCTGTAAAGGAATAACAGAGAATCTAATAAAAGAGATGATTGCAGATATTCCCATTTTGTTTATTATTAATGAAAAAGAGTAAAAAAAAAAATCATTTCTTCCTTCCTTCCAGCCTGTTTGTTTTCATTTGGTTTTGACTTGTGTTCTCTTGTGGTTATTAGGAATTCACTCTCATGATGTCAATCTAAACTTTAGTTTTCTTGTGAAAACTCTTGCAATTGTTGCCAAGGGACTTTCGCCTTTCTGTGGTGATGCCCTCTCAAGGGCACTTGGGAAATCAACACTTCTGTTAGTAGTTGGAAAATATGACGAGCCCCTTGCTGGGAAATGTGTCTCCTGTCCTGTGGCTGTTGGGTGAGTGGAGTGAAAGAACCAGGCTGACCATCACCTGGGAGGAGCTGGGGCAGATGAGGRTTGTGCCTGAAGATGTGCTGTGGAATCCTGGTAGCTTCAGCATGGCAGGAGTAATGTTATTAAAACCTYGTGGAAGGTTTTCTTGTTATTCCTATGGAATCCCTTCCCATGTCAGTTAACTCGTGAGAYTCTCAGGAAGGTGTTACCTTCAGGGCACGTTGCAAGGAGTCCAGGGTGGTGCATGCSATTACTACAAGGAATTAAACAGTGTTCTAGCAAAAAAAAAAATCATGTCTTGATAGTTGCTTAGTTACTTAATTCTTTACTTAGTTACTCAGTTTTTCACACTGTAATTGATGCTTTTAATTTCCTCAGATGGCTGTGGATGCCTGTGCCCTTACAACTATGTCCCTGCTTCGGTCAACAGTTCATGTTAAAGGAGTAAGTAATTTCTTTTCCTGTCTCATGCAGATGATGAGGAGGTCTCCATTAGTGCAGACCCTGAGCCAGCTGACCTCCAGGAAAGCCCTGTGAACAACCCCACAGAGGAAAGCCTCGGTGAGCCTCCATGCATCAACACAGTGACCTCAGAAAGTACAGCTCCAGAACAGCTAAATGGATACAGTGTGAACAATATCGATAGCCCAGGGGCTATCAGACCACCTGGGGAAGGCCACCACAACAGCTTAAATGAAGAGCTAGCAGGAGATGGGGAGGTTGATGCGGTGCCGTTTGTTGAACCCTTGGAATCGAACTCAGGAGAAGTGCTGCCTTCTTTGAGTGCCACGGACCTCACGGAGCAACTGGCTCTGCTGGCCTGCGTGTCTCCTCCCGAGACTGAAGTTAGGGAAAATAATAAAGCCAACTTTGGTTCTCAGGGAGATGGTGAAGTCTTAACCAGCATAGAAGCATTAGATATTGATGAGGTGAGTGCAGATGTACATGCTGGCAAGGATCTAGAGAAGAACCAGGACGAAGAAGGGGCTTCAGCCCAGGAAGACGAAGACAACAAGCTGCAGCTAAGGACCACGGCAAAGAGGAAAAACAGGCCTTGCTCCCTGCCCGTGTCCGAGCTCGAGACAGTGATCGCTTCTGCCTGCGGGGAGCCGGAGACGCCGCGCACGCACTACATACGGATCCACAACCTGCTGCACAGCCTGCCCTCGGCGCAGATGAGCAGCGACGGGGAGGAAGAGCAAGAGCAAGAGGCCCGTAACGACGGCGAAAACGATGAGGAGTCCACGGTGAAGGAGGCGCTGGAGAAGGACACGGTCAGCGAGAGCGAGACGGTGGCAGCAGAGCCTCCCGCGGAGAGCGAGGCCGAAGAGACCCTGAGGCAGTGCGCGGCGCCTGCCGCCCCCTCCGCCGAGCACCTCGCCGGCTCCACCGAAGGGCTCCTGGATGGGGAGCAGCCCGGCACAGGCAGTGAGAGCGAGTGCAGCTCCCGGCCCAACGGGGACAACGAGTGCGAGGCGTGTGACACCTCGTGCTACAGCCCCTCGTGCTACAGCACCTCCTGCTACAGCACCTCCTGCTACAGCACCTCTTGCTACAGCACCTCCTGCTACGACAGCAACAACCGCTTCTCCAGCCATACCCGCTTCTCCTCTGTCGACAGCGCAAAGATTTCTGAGAGCACGGTCTTCTCCTCCCAGGATGATGAGGAAGAGGAGAACAGTGCTTTTGAGTCAGTGCCAGATTCAGTGCAGAGCCCCGAGCTGGACAGGGAGCAAGTGGATGGCTCCTCCCAGTGGCCAGATGAACTAGTAGCTCATGGTGGGAATCCACAAAGAGCCCCAGAGGGTCTAGACACTCCAATAGCAGGTCCAAGCAGCAGAAGAGAAGGTTAGATCCTGAGAATCGATGCACTGAGCAGCCCTAATTATCTGGATGTCACAGATGGCATCAGATAATTGAGGTTTCGGATTGCTCGCACTTTATTTCCTACAAATTTAGGGGCTTTGAGCTGGACCAGATATCAGGGAGGGTTGGATAATTGAGCCTGTCCTTAAAAATACCAGCAAAACCAAATAAGTTGGACGGGGATCTGTATATACAGTTTTGTATAGATATATATTCATCATTATAAAATGGAGATTAGTTCCAGGAGATTTGTGGCAGATCTGCATCCTCACATCCACCAAACCATTCCTTATTTCCTGGGATCGTTCCATTTCACATATCCAACGTGCTGCCATGTCTCTGGTAGTCAGTGAGAGGCCTGACATGTGCTTGTGAAGGGACAGACATGCTGCTTTATTCTAGCTGAAGATCGAGGCCAGGATGTGTGCATGGTTGGTAGCCTTACACAGTCTTAATCATAAAGAAATGCAAATATTTTCTAATAAGTAAGAACAGCTGCCTCTTACAAACCCTCTTTTCTCCCATTGCCTGAATAGGAAACAAGTCTACCTCAGATTTCACAAGCTACAGGGCACCTTGGCAGAGAGTGTTTTTCTCTCGGATGCTGGCAAATGTGTCTGTGTCGAATGGAGTTCTCATCTCCTTCACGTTCTCTGCAGATATAAGATAATTAAGATCATTATTGTTTGTCTGTGCAGTTTAGGTCCTGATTTTTCCCCCAGGCCCTTCAAAGCCTTACAGTAACTCACGTTACATAGTGAAGTTCCGTGAGCATCCAGTTTGGTCACTCGTCTCCTCTTCAGCTTCTTCCCTGCTTTGCCCGGCTGAAGAAGTAGAGGCCTCAGCTGCAGCTAAGGGCTGTGCAGCAAGGTCGGGAGGTAGTCTTCACATTGCCAGATCCCAACCATCTGTGGCCTGACAGAGGGACAGCAAATTAAAGTGTCACCAAGAGGATAACGTTTTTGGGGGCCGCTCGCAGCCCTAACCAAAGCAGCCCTCCACTTTTTCTTCCCCCATTCCCACTATATTTCCCCTCACCTACGGCCACAGGCCCCCCCAAGACAGGAAGATTGTAGCCTGTCTCTACACCAGGCTGTGTAAGGACTTTCTAAATGGCAAGGTCTGGACCACAGCTTGCTCTGCAGAGCAGAAATGAGCCTAGAGGAGCAGATCCTCAGAGCTGCACCGTGCCATGGGCCTGCCCGCTTGTGGGCTGGGCTCTTGGTACGTGAATCCGCTGGCCTGCTTGCCCGGGGGGCCGGCTGCGTGGGCCTGAGCACGCGTGGGCCCCTGCTCRTGGATGGGGCGCTCCTCTTGCGACGGGGTGTCCGGAGGGTGGGCGGGCGCCGCATCCCGCTTCCCTGCAGCCCCGGGCTAGCCGAGAGGGAGCGTGTGAAGCGCAGCCCTAACTGCCCACGGTGTTGCGTGAGCTGGTGGCCCCGACACGCGCAGTAGCTGTGGTCCCTCCACCCGCTCCAGGTGACTGGTGCTACCGCCCTGCTGCCGCCCTGGCCTTACTGTCTGACTAGGGAGCAGTCAATGATGGTAAGTAAAGAAACGTAGATAGATGGTGTGGCAGCTGGTGCTTGGTAGCTGGTGCACCATGTTCTTTTTAGGGTATCAGAGTGGGGCTTCTAGCCCCGAGAAATAACGTATRTAATTTTGCTGTCTGCTCAAAACATGCAGCACATATGACTGTTAGATGTGTCTATACACAAGTAGTTTAATGAAGACAATTAAGAGGCCGAATGATATCATCAGAACACACAGAAGAGGGAGGATTCTTATGCAAGCGATTTTTCTCACTTCTAGATAGTGTGAGTTTTTTTATAGTTGTTCTTAAATTGACTTCTGCCCTCTAGCTATTCCCAAAGGAAAAACAAATGCACATTTTAGGTAGCTGTTTATTTTACAATTCAATACCTAGATGTTATTTCTATAGAATGCTTATTCTTAGCATGCTAAGATCCCAGCATTAAAGATAGCTAAACCAGCCAGCATATAGTGAATTTGGCCCAGATGAATTTTGGCTCTTCTGCGTTTTAAAGTAGCTTTGTATAATACTCTGGTGATTTCAGAAATGTTAAGCATTTTTCCCCTAATTTGCATCTTTTTGATGCATATAAATGTTATGTAACTTAGGCTGTATCTGTATAACACAGGCTTATATGCAGCTGGAGGTTGTAGTGAACAACTGCCATCATACGACATGAAAATACGTCCGTTAATAGGATAAATAGTCCTGATTTCTAAGGTTTTAAAGACTGGAAAGAGATCTGAATTATGAAACCTGTGGAGTTTTAACTTGCAGGTTCCTCATTTTCACGCTTAATTCTAGGATTAAGAGTAGTTTTTCATCCTTACAATAAACTTCTTAGTTTCTTAAGGAATTCTGTAAACCTTGACTGAATCTCAGSTTACTCATTCCCATTGACAGAACATCAGGTTGGAAATTTGCTTAGGTTCCATTATTTCATATTTGGATACACAGGCATATATGCAATATTGGTGTTTAAAAACTTCCTCTGCCCTATTTTATGTCTCCTTCTCTTCTTCTTTCCCACTTCTCTGTCCCAGGTCTTCCCTCTTTATCTCAGATCTTGGCTCTGTCTCACTGTCTTTTAACCTCTTCTACTATCACTTGTCTCCTACCTGTYTCTGGTCTTTCTCTCATTCTCCTTCCTTCCACTCAAGATGGAGAGCTGAATTTTGGAAAAATGACTCTASAAGGGGATGATCTTCTGCTCTGCAGGGACTGCAAAATCTTACCACTTCAGTCCACGTGTTCATCTCTAGTACTTTTTTGGAAAAGTGGAGAAAGCTTCAAAGGCAACTTTGAGCCTCACAGTTCTCTAATGGGGTGACTAGAAAGTTGGAATGGATTTTGCACGTTCCTGACCAGTTTCTGCAGAAGCTTTGAGTTTGGTTGTACTTACACAGTACTTCTCAGAGATCAAGCCTGATTCTTCTCTCGCTTACACTTGTGTTTCTGGAGTAAATGAGTCCAGAATCTGGCCCATAATAGTTCAGCAGTGACTGAAACCCAAGACCAGACTCTTGGCTGCATTATTTTGAATGATTCTTTGACATATGAGTAGTTATAAAATAGAGCCTGRAAAAAGGAGAAAACAGAGCTGCTAGCACAACACTACACTAACCTTTTCTACAAAATAATCACTTGTTTTACAGTAGCACATTTTTTAAACCACGTTGTGAAAACAGTGAATGACTGTGAATGTCTTGAATATCTTGTCCGTAGGTGATTGCYCTTTACTCCATAATTCTCAGCCAGTCAGCCAGCTTCCTTCCCTGAGGCCTGACCATCACCACTACCCAACTATCGATGAGCCTCTTCCACCAAGTAAGCTTCAGTTTTTTAATTTATTGTATTTCTCAACCTTTCCTGTTATCTGAAACAGTGTAGAGGTCAGTACGTCTTTCTAAATGACCCCGTCTGTCCTGTATACTCATTCTGCAGAACTCAAGCAATATGCCCTTTTGTTTCCCGTATTTGATCCCGACTCCAAATGTTGTCATGTTATTTTGGACAAGCTCCATAAGCTCCTTCTGCCTTGGTCTGTCCTCCATGGCTACTGTGAAATGGCAATGATATTCCCTTGTCGCCAGTCCCTGCTACAAGACTGGTATGAGTGGGTATCTGTAAAGTGATCTGGAAGCCTCTGGGTGCTGTAGTGACACAGTACTCTCTTTTTCTCTACAAAGTTTGTCTTCAGATTTTTGGGTTTTTTTTTTTTGTGTTTCTTGTGTTTTTTTGTGTCTTTTTTTTTTTTTTTTGTCTTTTTGCTCTGACTTCGGATCTGATAATCAATGAATTTTATGTTCATTATGGACTGTAATGGGGTCTGCACTTGACAGCAATAAGAAAATGAAATGGTTTTAAGCAAAGTGGTGGATTAGCAGGCTGATAGTATGGGATTTTTAGCTCCATAGCAGTTGCTGGAGGTGTTTCCTCTTGTCTCCATAGCCTTTYCCTTGTGTGATCCTGGAGGATTACCCCGCTTTTTGCATTAGCATGAACTGCCCAGAAGAGTGCACTCTCTGCCCTGCAACATTCAGCATCACCCTTCAACTTCAGCATATGATTTAAGACCCTAAAYCATTCAGTTCCTCAGAAAAACAACCAGGCCTATAAACAAAGCCCATTATTTTCTTCAAAGCCCAAATAGGGAGCACACTTATTTTGCACATGCTGCCCTTGACAAATAACTCATCCTTTACCAGCGAAGCTCTCAGTATTCCCCGAGCTGCAGATGGCCTCGGTGCTGGCATCGGCTGCGCAAGCAGCAACGAACGATTCAGATGCCTTTAGCCCAGTGGAGTCTTATTAGAGCCCCGCTGTGGCTGCAGAGAGTGATGAAATGGGAACGGCTGCCTCTGTAACAGGCAGCTATTTCTCTTCTTCCCACTCTTACCTCAACGCCTGGTGCACAGGGCACGTTCCCAATGCGATGCCTTAATGAGAGGACACTGGCAGCGGTTGAGGTAAAAAATAAACAGGAAAATGTTGTGTATCTGTGTCCTGTTAGCTGCTGTTGCCAATCCAATGCTGGGCTTGATGAGCAGCCCCAAAAGGCAAGTGTTTCTATCACTGGTTTTCACAAAGGCTGGCACGGTAGGGTGTAAGGACATGTAATCCAAAGTATGCAATACAGTGGGGAAGTGATRTGCATTTGTTTTTAAGTATTTGCATATAACATATTTGCAATAAAGATTGAAACTATTGACTTAAATACATGATTTCTTTTAGGAATATAGTGATGAATAGTGAATTTTTTAGGAATTTAGGTTAACTTTTTGGGAGGTAAAAATAATAAGATACTATCATCTAGAAAGGCACTGCCCAAAACTGTCAATRAAATTTTAAAGTAATTTCAAGATGAAAAATATTTAGAAATATCTAGAAATATTTTTTCTTCTAGCAKTCAGTATCACTACCTCAGTGCCTTTAATGCCACTTCATCCACAGATAAATAATTATTGAATTGTGTGAGAGAAAGACATTTTATATTTGAAACAAGAGTTAAGTGGTCAGCTGGCTTTTATCACACATGCAGCATTAGCCTCTGTCTGGAAGTAGCATCAAGGATAATTTACTGTTAGTGACACATTGCCAATATTGACTGGTTTTACCTCTGTCCTGGAGAATCCGTGGATAGTCTTTTCTTCTCTTTCAAATAAGTCTTCCAAATAATAACTTTGTTTCATCGTAACTCCACAACAGCTGGTTCCAGGGAGGAAATTTAATTTCAGACAAGTTTATTGGGCAACATATGGCAGAGCARATTTATTATGTATGTAGGAATGCTGTAATGACCAGTCGGAAAGTTAAGGCACGCTGGAGATTGACAGAAGATTTGCAGTTTGTATGGCCTCATGACAGCCTTAATAGTCACCTCTTACTATGCTTGTATTTGCTAATGCTGCTGGAAACCTTGCAGCACTGAAGCCAAGAAAAACACATGTGCCCTGTTCAGAGCTGCCTCTGTGCTGGCGGTGTGGCTGAGCTTAGAAAGGCAGAACCAGCGGGTTTGTTTTGCCCCTCCAGGATTATGGGCCTGCCAGAAAATCCTGTGTCTCCTGGCATAAGGCAGAAGAGGTTCAGGGGCTGCTGTGCAATATAAATTGGTTGATAGAGGGGGATCACTGAGGGACAAACCCTTATTGTCCTGTTCTCAGCCAGTGACCAGTGGACCAGTGTCCTCCTCCTGTGGAGGCTGCATGTGCAGTCACAGTCGTCCTTGCCTGAAGGAGAGAAAAAAGAAAGAAGGGAAAAAAAGGAAAAAAACAGAGGAGATTTGGCTGCTTCCTAGATCCTTTATGCTCCGAGTCAGTGTCCTGTCTGTCAGTTCACCTGTCAGCCTGTTCATCCCCCTGTGCAGGCACCCGTCCGTCTGCCTGCACAGCCGGTACCGTGCGTAGCCTCAGTGGCTTCCRTGACTTGCTGGTTGTCTTGTGGGGAGGCGGAAGGTGCAGCGTTGGCTGGGAGAAGATACAGCAGAGGCATCAGCACCTGCCACCTTCTGCCAGCCCTCCCAGTTGACCAGGAAGGTGGTGACCTGCCACCTGCTCAGAAGAGCATTGCGAGGAACGGTGTTTGTGTGGAGCCACAGCAGCTTCCCCAGAGGCTGTCGGGCACATCGTAGTTCCTGATACTTTAGTGCGAGAGCGAAAGCGTCAGCCCAGTTTCTCGCTGTGTAAGCAATACCTCCAGCACCTCCACATTGCTTGCTGTGTAAGCAGTACCTCCAGTCTTCCAGAAACTGTAATGCAGCACCATCCAGACCTGCTGTTGTCACTGCGACCTCCAAGCTCTGCACAGGTTGGGTCCTCTGAGCTTTCTAGGCTTAGGAGCTCTGAGTTATGTGTAATTGGAGATACAGTCTTAAGTCAGTGTTGCATAAGGCTGGACCATGAGAAGCGCTTGTTTCACTGTGTAACAGGGTAGTGTTATTCTTAGTGAATGTCCATCAGCAGGCTGGAGACCAGTATGACCAGTATTAAGTGATGTCTTCTGTGGSCTGGCCGGAATGTGGGTGTAATAATTGCCTACCAGTCTCTAATTATCCACTGAGCTTTATTWTTCTCAGCCTGCTGCACGATCCTGCAGTGTGGTGTGAGGTCAAGTGTTTGACCCTTGCCAGACAACAGCGAGGAAAATGAAGGTGTTCTTAGTGATGTGGTGGTACAAACCATTGCCCGTGGCCTGGCCAAGGGGATTTCTGTGTTGCTGATGCTGCAGATGGTTGCAGGAGGCCCGTTCTCCATCTGGGGTGGCGTGGCTGCTGCCCTGGGTGATGCGCTCCGCAGGGACCTGGCCTGCAGCCTGGCCCGCATCTCCACAGGGCTCCGAGGGGCTCCCTGCAGCTCGGCTCTGCCTGCTGCGCCCCGTTTCACTGTTTCAGGCATCGCTTCCACTGAGCCATGTTCTCGAAACAGCCACAGCGTCCCTGGGAAAGGGAGGCCAGTGGGAGTAGCTGGGAGGCCTCTCCTTAAGGTTATGTAGTGGTATTCACAGTGAGAGCGTCTGTGTGTGCGTGGGGCGCGTGTACCCCTGTGGGGTGGGTATGTGCTCTGCCCCTGGCAGCACAGAGGTTGCTGCCTCAGCTTTGGAGAAGTGAGGCGCGTGGATGTGGCTCCCTGCTCCTTTGATCCTACGGAAGTTCTTCCAGGGGCTCCCCAAGTCCATGTTTTCAGGTTCCCATGATCCATGTAGCAGGAGCAACCAGCCGCAGACTGAAGACAGCCAGGCCTGGGGTGGGACCAGGCCGGACATGGGAGCTGGATGCAGACAGGGCCCGTGTTCAGGGGAAGGGAACTAGGAGTGGCTTCCATACACAGCAGGGAGAGGCACAGCTTCAATCCCACCCTTAGAGGGTAGGGGATAAAAGGAATAAAAACTAGGTGGTCCCATATTGCTTGTAAAGAGCCATAGAAGAAGGAATAGATGCATCTCCACCTAAAGTAAGGAGAGAGCCATGGCAAGGGTATGGGGAGAAGAGGGGCCGTGTGCCCCCAAAGGTAACTGCTCTCTGTGCATTTGTGTCTGAATRTGGGTGGTGGCTTGTATATAATACATGTAGCAAGTACGTGCATGTTTGATAGATATGTCATCAGCTGGTGATCATCTGGAAATACCAAGTTAGCAAATTAAGCTTATAGTACTTCATGCCATCCATTTCAAGCAATTCAGTGTATGGCTTAGGTTTTTTTTTTAAATTCACTTCTGAATTTCCTATTTCCAGATGATTTTTATCAATATTTTCAATGCTTTTCACGCTTTTAGATGTCATTTTTCCACCRTCCATCAAGATGATATACAAGAACTTTCTAATTTTCATTCATGGGACAGCTTAGACTAATATTGGTGGGAGACAGTCATGCTGGAAGACTCAGTAATCTGCTGCAAATTCTCCATCGAGCTGGCATTCACGAGAGCAATAGATTTATGACAATCATCTGCTTGTATTTATAGAGATTTCTAAGAACAGGCCAGCCAGGCTGTGATCAGCTRTAGGTGGGGGGGAGCCTATAATTACTATAATCTTCTGTATCCTTCTGAAGCACTTTATAAAAGAGAAATGAAATATATTTCTTCTGAAACCTAACCAAAAAGAAAACACGGGATTTGAAGCATTAGCCGAGACTTAATCTTTCTGTGCTCAGGGCCTGTCCTGTCTGGCTGCCCTGACCTCCAGTAAATCCAGCCAACCAGCATAACTGATTATGAAATTATCCAGCCCTTTACAAATACGGTCAGCRTCACTTGTTTTTCACAGTGTACGGTAGTGAATTCTATAGGCTGCCTATGTGCTTTGAGTGAAGGAATATGTATATACGRCATATACATATATGTGGATATGCGCTTGGTATATCTGAATCTATAGATGTTAGAATATATATGACGTACCTATACACGTGTATGCCAGTGTCCCCACCGCGTGTGTGCCCCTAGGTGTGTGCCCGCACGTCCCCGGCGCTSGGGCAGCGCGGGGCACTGAGCGCCCCCCTTGCTCTCTTTGCACCCCTAGACTGGGAGGCGCGCATCGACAGCCACGGCCGGGTGTTCTACGTGGACCACGTCAACCGCACCACCACGTGGCAGCGCCCCACGGCCGCCGCCACGCCCGAGGGCATCCGCCGCTCCGGCTCCGTCCAGCAAATGGAGCAGCTCAACCGGCGGTGAGTGCTCGCGCGCCGGCCTCCCCGCCGAGTCCCGCTCGGCCTTCCCCGCCGCCCGCTCCCTGCGGATCTGCCTTCCCTCCTCGGCCATCCCGGCCGGACGTGCCCACCTGAGAGGGGCCTCATCATGAGCCACGTTGCAAAGTGTGTCCAACTAAGTGTATTATGGAGAACCTTTGGGAAAGGACTCCAGAGGAGACGGGGTGAAGCCGTTTTTGCCACTCGGCTCTAAGAGCAGCGTCCATGGCTCAGTCCCCAGCACGGCAGCGCAGCATGTGCAGAGGTCTCTGAGCTCTATTTTGCTGCAGTGGCGTTGCCTTATCAGTGGGACRTTACCCACGCACGTGTGGCCGCTGGGGACCTCTCTGCTTTTCCAGTATTAATATTGAATTACTATGAAGGTAACCCCTCTACACCTAGATAGACCTGCTCAGTGCTGCACTGGGCTTCATAAAGCTGTGGCTTTGTTCAAATCTAGCCCAAATATCTTTTACATGCATTTTCCACTTAGTTTGACAACTTCCTACCCGCATTTGTTTATCTTTTCCTACTCATGTTTGCTTTTCAGGCGAAATTTAGCTGGAAAAAGTAAGCAGTGGGGCAAAATCCTCACATTTTAGTTGAAAAAAGGTTTTCTTCTGGGTTTGTTTTCTTCTGGGTTTGTTTGTTTGTTCATTTTATTCCTTGCTTACTGTAATGATACAGTTCCTTTTCTAGACAATCAAGACTGAAATTATATTCTAATCAGAGTATGTGAAATACCACAGAAGTTTTGGGCCACTGCATTAAAAGAAGGATCAGGAGCTAAGGGAAGAATATAGAGTTTCAAAGTATTCTTTCCATGGTGCAGAACAGTTTGGAAGCTACTGCCTCCTCTCTAAGGGGAGCTGAGTCCTGAGTGACATGGACTAGAAAGTTGAATAACTTTTTGAGAGCAAACCAGTCTTCTGCAAGTGATTTTTGTGCACAGTAAGTGGACACAYTCACATCCTCCTCAAAAAGATGATTTTCTTTCTCCCTCAGCCCCCGCCTCCAAATCCATTATTCTGGATGGTGTTTCACACCACCACCATATATTAATTTTTGTAAGGGTTAAAGAACCTGCTCACTGTTTGTTTCCATTATAGCTTTCCTCAGAATATGTCAAGCATCCGTGTAAACATTAAAGAAACAAAGAAAAGTGGCTATTTCTAGTAGACTCTTTGAAGGGATTTACATGGTTCTTCTCTTCCATKTAGAGTTTGTCTTTAAAAAATATTTGGGTCATGTCAAAACTCAGTTTGATTGCCACTGGAGCAAGTTATCTGACACAGGAAGCTCTCTTGTGGGTGTAATTCAGAGCTCGGGGGTTTTTTGAGTTTGTGTGTGTGTGTTTCTTGCTTTCTTTTGGTCATTGAACCCTCATGCAAGCCCAACGCACCCAGTAATAAATGCCCGAGAGTGTCTGCATAGGAACTTAACCATTCTGTTAGCACACACGAGTTAATAAATAAACCAAAGGCATTRCCTTTGTGACCTACCGATTTAAACTTTATTCTTCCATATTTCCATCTTGTCTGTTTTTTTGGGTTTTTTTTTTTTTTTTTCAGTATCATCGTTTTTTACTTATTTGGCTTTGGAACTGACTATTGATATATACATGTCTCTGTATTTCAACACTTTCAGTATTCAGATATCCAGTATCCACAGAGCGAGAAGCGTAGATGTTCAGTAATGGCATCGCTCTCCTCACCTGAATCCAATAGAGACTAAACACTTTACAATTAATAAATGTGGACTTTCATGGCTTCTTGGGACAGATGGAGAAAATAATGATTCTGAAATGTCTGCTGAAGAGCCACTAAAATTAAAAAATACGTAAATAATTTCTGTCAGTCCGGAGTGGTCTCCCATTGTTCCTAAGTTTGGGCAGTTGAATAGAAACATTTCTTAAGAGTCCTGTGAAATGGCTTTGTGCTGAACATTATAATGGTTTCAACCAAGCTGAATATTTCTGAATATGAAAGCTATTTCTGCGTTTTTAACCTGGCTTTAATAAATTTAAGTGTTGTCCTTGTCCTGGAGCTGGACAAAATCAAATATTTCTCCAGATTTGGCACATGTGAGGAAAATAACTTTTCCTAAGCAGTTAATGAAAAGTGCTGCAGAGGATCAGACTGTGTTTAAGTATTCATTTTGCAAATACTCTTCTGTTGTATTTCAAGATTCATTATTTGAAACAATCTTCAACATACACACCAGAAAATTATTTTAGGCAAAGCAACAGCAACACAGACCTTGCTGATAGACTTAACAGCAGCCTGAACTTTTGCTCCAGGCTCAAACAAAATGGGACTCGAATCATGCTGGCAGTTTGAAAAAACTTGGCTATTTTTCTTCTTAAACCAATCTACTCACTTTTCAGCTTCCTGATTTCATATGGGGAGAGGAATGGAAAGACCAGAATATTACAAGGAAGCTTGGTGTTTTCTAGCCTGGCCAAAACCACAAAGCTTTGGAAATTCTGCTTGAAAAAACCTCTGATTGCTCCAATCCAAGAGCCCAGTCCCAATTTACTTCTGTGCTCAAAGCTTCCTATTAGCCCTACTGGCCATTTGGGAATACAAGGAATGCAAAATTGAAATCCAGGCTTTGGGCAAGCTCCAAAGAAACATCTCTACCTTTTATTTTAAAGATGTTTGCTCATTTTCCACAGCACTACCTGCGACTGCTTGCTTGTTAGCAAAGCAGGTAACAGCCACTGCTGTTCAAACTCTATTGGAAAGCCCCTATGCAGTGTAGGTGCTTTCACAGCTACACTTGTCCTTGCTTTATCTTAAGAAATAATAAATAGCAAATTAAAATTACATAGTTAAAACAGCCTCTGTGTGATATTTCTAAACCTCTATTTCATTGACAAATCACTTTGAAAGCAGACTGAAATTTCCAGAGGCATTCCCACAGCTTTTACCTTTTCAATGTTTTCTCCAATTGCTTTGACATTTTTCTGGTATTTATATAAGACAATTTTATTATATTGAGACTAAAACAAAAATAGTAGCCTTTTGTTGGCATACAGCTAATATTACTGTTTAAAATTTGCCAATAGGGATTTTCTGCCATCTAATTAAATCGGAGCTACAGTTCTTTTTTTTAATTTTCTTCACATGCTGCTTACATCCCTTGAATATTTGAACTCCTTTTTTTTCTCTTTCCCCTTGCTATTGCATGTGGGTGTCGTAAAACTCCTCAAGTATTGGAATGGAAACTTTGTTCAATTAGCCTGCAGTCAAGTGAATACAAATATAAAACATGGGTCTAAAACAGAAGCGCAGAGCAGCTGAGGTAAACTTATGCTACTGTGAAATCTGCTTTGTGAATGTTGCATGTTTACTTAAAAACAACAAAAAAAGCCCAGTCTTTTCTTCTTAAATCTTATAAAAATGCTGTTTATTGAGCTATTGAAGCATATATTAAATGTAGCTTCAAATTACTTTGATTACTGGGGGAAAATACATTATATTCTCTAAGTTTAGGATAAATCTCTTAAAACTTCAATTATTTTTCTAAATTACCTCCAGTCCCTCTGCCCRAGGTCAGGTTGGAGTGAGCAACTGGCTACTGTTTGTGGTATATAAAAGCTGAATCCTAACTATATGTCTTTAATGATCCCAYGTCACTCTGAGGAGCTCAGTCCTGACCAACTCCTAATTTGGAATAAAGTGCACATTAACAAATAGAGAGACAGGAAGAAAGGAAAATGTAGAAGTTGGAAGATGAGCTGATGAAGGGAGAGGGAATGTCGGTCAGTAAGATGAGAGACAAATAATATTGGATCAGATTAAAAACAAACAGTAGAGCTATCCCAGTTGATATCAGTACAGGAATGCATTCCAGAAATACGGATTAAAAATACCAGGGTGGAGTTAAAGCTAATTAAAATATTGAGGGCCTTTTTCCTTCCCTTCTGTCTTTCATTTCTGCCTTTCATTCTTTCTTTTCTCTCTTTCTCTCTTTCTTTCCTTCTTTTCTATTTTTCTCTCTCTCCTTTCTTTTCTTTCTTTCCTTTCCTTTTCACTTTCTTTCCTTCTTCTCTCTATTTTTATCTTCAAGTATGTAAAAAGACTTGTTTTCTTTGTAGGTTCCTAGTAAAAACAAACAAATCTTCATCTCTTGCCTTACTCATCTGTTTATTTTGGTGAACATGTTAACTGGAATTAGTTTTTTTGTGTAGTACCTATTTGAAACACTCTAGATTGTTCTTTCATCCTGATCTAGTAGAGTGTTTAGGATTGAGCTCTTCTTTTCTAAGAGCATGACTAGTCCTGTTATCAATTAATATGGAAATTACTTCCATAATTAATATGGAAATAACATTATGGAATTTAAAGCTGCTTGCACTTGCAGGTTTTAGTTCATTTATTTCTGTCGCCCTCAATAATGTTGGCTTATCTCTGTATTCTTTCCTTTTCCTTGCTCTGCAACTAGGTATCACCCAACTCAAGATAAACACCCTCTCCCACTGATGCCAGTAAATAGCGTAACACTTGCTTCCCCACACAGTGCACTCAGCTCATGTGTTACATCTTTATTCTCTTTTTTAATGTGTGTGTGCGCCATATCAATTTGATTGTAAAAGTTCTTTGAGCTTAAACTACCTGCTAATCGAGCTGCTGCACTGCCTACCACAATGGAAGTATTCACAGAACCCCAGAATGGCTGAGGTTGGAAGGGACCTCTAGAGCTCATCTAGTTCAACCCCCTGCTCCAGCAGGGACACCCAGAGCATGGGGCACAGGGCGGCAGCCAGGTGGGTTTGGAAGACCTCCAGAGAAGGAGACTCCACAGCCTCCCTGGACAGCCTGTGCCAGGGCTCTGTCACCCTCACAGGAAAGATTTTTCTTCCTCATATGCAGATAGAACTGTCCTTTTTAAGTTTGTACCCATTGCCCGCTGTCCAATCACTTGACACCACTGGAAGTAGTCTGGCCTCGTTTTCTTGACACCCTTCCTCAAGACATTTGTGTACATTGGCAAGATCCCCTCTCAGTTCTCTCTTCTCCAGGCTAAACAGGCCCAGCTCCCTTAATCTTTCTTCGTACTATAGATGCTGCAGTCCCTTAATCATCTTTGTCGCTCTCCGCTGGACCCTCTCTAGAAGCTCCACGTCCCTCTTGTCCTGGGGAGCCCAGAACTGCCCCCAGTACTTCAGGTGCGGCCTCCCCAGAGCTGAGGAGCAGGATCCCCTCCCTTGACCTGCTGGCCACACTCCTCTTGATGCAGCCAGGATCCCATTGGCCTTCTTGGCCACGAGGGCACTGCTGCCTCATGGTTACCTTGCTGTCAACCAGCACTTCCAGGTCCTTCTCCACAGAGCTGCTCTCCAGCAGGTCAGCCCTCCTTGGCACTGGTGCATGGGGTTACTCTCTGTTACAGACATTTGTTCATCAGTGCCAAATGTCACGTTTGCCATGTAGTGGTTGGTCCAAGTGTGAAGAGCTTCATCAGCTGGAGAACAAAAGTCGGGCGCATATTCTTGTTATCTTGCATACYGGAGGTAAAAGTATTGGAACTGTTCAAGCAAATGTTCGCTGCTAAGGTAGAAAGTACCAGGAAGTTCTTCTGTTAACTAAAGTAAATTGTTCCTTTCTCTAAAAACATRTAGATACCAAAATATCCAGCGAACGATTGCAACGGAGCGGACTGAGGATGATGCCATCGTTAACAACAGAGTGGAAAGGGTTCCCACGGGGGGAGGCAGTGACTCCGAGGCAGAGCCCTCCCAGACAAGCTCAGGTATGGAGAAGAAAACCATTCACGTTCACCACCATTGAGTGGTCGCGTTTGATTCTGGGGAATACCCAGACCTTTCCCCTGGGTACTGGAAGTTCATTATAGCCAGATACAGAAGCTACGTGAAAGAAAGAGGTGTAACCCTGAAGCTGCAGGTACAAAGCCAGAGACAAAAGGCTTTAGTATTTTTAACAACTGCTAACGCAGACAAAGTATTTTTACTTTAGTAAAGGATTATTTGAAATGAAACTAGAGAAGGCACCTTTTTTTTTTTCCAGCTAAACTGTTGCAAAAACTGCACTGTTTTATCTTAATGCAGTGTGATTTGGTCTCAGGGGGCTTTGCCTTCTAAGGATACTTTAYCTACCCAGGGCACTGCAGCACTTGCCCATGTGGTTGCACCTGCAGCAGCCCTGGCATTGAGAATGAAATACTTACATTTTTAAGRCTGCGGTTTTGTGGTAGCTGTGAGCTGATCCAAGCACAGGCTGCCACCAAAGGAGGGACAACCACCTCTTTGCTTATCACTAACTCGTGTGACAACATGCTGCCCCAGAGCAGAGACCAGATCTGGCTGAAAACAAATCTTTTACCTTGTGGCTGGTGCAGTTTACAGCCAAATCAGTTCTTTTTACATGACCAGAACAGGACTAGTGACAGTAGAAAGGAGAAGAGGAAGACGTGTACTTAAGAGCAGGACAGGATGGACAGAGCGCTCTTCCACCCTTCTTGGCAGTAGTAATACTTATTTTTTCTTTAAAATTCTGGAAGCAGAGTATTTTGTTGGAAGTTAAAAAAAAAACTTATGCCATGAAAACAAATGGCAAAAAGCAGTTTGGAAGATATATATTGGTATTTAATGCCAATAATTGAAACATTAAGGGGAGATGCAAGCCACGCTAGAATAAGAGAAAGCTGTTGTATGACACATTTGCCTTTCAATTTAAAAAGAATTTTTTAAGGCAAATGTAAAAGGAAAAGAGCAGAAGGACCTTGTATGGTGCTTTACATCACCAGCATGGAAGTGAGCAGCAGAGCAGGGGACTTGATTAACCCAGCCTTRCTACCAAATGCTTTGTGCTGGTGAACACCTCAGACTGGACTGGAAATCAGCTTTCTCCTCAGGAATCAACCATGGGGATGACCGTGCTGAGGATTTGGCTGACAGCACTGAAAGAAGCCCTCAGCTAGTGAACACTGATGTGGTCCCATTGCCAGTGTCGATGTGAGCAGCAGTGGACGTGACCCAGAGTTTTATATCGCGCAGGGTTGAAAAACATCCAGGTCCTGCCCTGCCTCTCTCAGCTCTGCAACACTAACCATAAGGGAAACATCTGCTATTTTGCCAGCAGGCTTGTCTTCAAAACACAAAGACACTATTTATTGGGCAGGGTGGTGATGTTCTTATACATGTTTATATATGCATCTGTGACCATGCAATAAAAGTGAAATAATATACTSTTTTGCAATGTTAACAAGGTTTTGCGTTGTGCTCTTTTTTTCTCCCCAGAAATTAGGAGGGAAGGTTCCCTTTCTCCCGTGAATTCTCAAAAAATCACCTTGTTGCTGCAGTCTCCMGCTGTGAAGTTCATCACCAATCCTGAGTTCTTCACCGTGCTGCATGCAAACTATGTGAGTAACTGTGATTTGCTCTCTCAGTGCCACTGCTTTCAAAGCGCAAAAGCCGAGCCCCAGGCCTTCGCTGAGGATGAACAGTGAATTTTAATTGCCCAATTCAGGTGCACTTGTCCTTTCTGAGCACCAGACAAGCTGAGCACAGCACAGGCCGACTGCTTCAAAGAAACTTTTGCTGAAATTCTTCTTCATACAGGAAATTTCCTGGCATAGAAGAAATTCTTGCCTCATTACTATTATCCTTCCAGAATATGCAGGAAATCCTGGGTTGTTCTTGGTTCATTCTGTTTTCTTTTGCTGCAAGGCTTAATATTATTGCTTTTGCATCCTTGTTTCTGAGGAATTTTATACAAATGTTATGAAATCTCAGTGAAATACAGAACAAACTTCTTATTGGCACCTGCAGTTTGCATTCCCAAGAAACAGATGGGGAAAATATGTCAGGCAATGAAGGACGTACTCATTTGAGTCAGTATAACTATTATAACTGTTTTCAATTGTATAGATGTTTTTTTCCAGAAAAACAACAAATCTACATGTGTTCTTGCAAACCTCATGTGCAGAAGTAGAAGAACTTACAGGGTAGGCCATTCGGAAGACAACACTTAGGGAAATGTCACAAGGAGAGGTGCAATTACCAGGTTTCTGTCCTAGTTTTCTGGGTCTTGAAGGTATTTCAGCTGGACATACATGCATGACTTCAGAATCTTTGGAGAATTTTCCTTTCCTGGATAAAACAGCCCCCCCTTTTTTTTTTTTAAGAAATGAAAATTTTAAGAATTGTCTTAGCACAGGTCTTTCACTGAAGACAGACATCCTGTTCTGGCTCTGATGCTGCACAGGTTGATACCAGCTCTCCATCTCCAGTTCTCTGCCAGAGATTATTGCCCCTGAAACTTTACCAGGGAAGGCATATATCTGACTTTAGCTGAATTAGGTTATGGAGGGCACATCATGTCCATTGCTGGGCTGATAATTGATGATTTGTAGCTCGTTTTCATTAGGCTTGGCTGAGAAATGAGCAACTGATTCTGTAGTGGTAAATGAAGAGCTCACAGGAGACTGAGTCCCAGCTTCGTTCCGTGCTAAAACAGCAAATCCAAAAGAGCTCTTGGTTCAAACTTGCAAAGTTGTCACTAACATGGGAGCCAGAATAATCTCCTGAAACATCTGTCGAATAGTGATACAGATGCCACTTGTACAGAAATAATGGCCCACATTACTTTTGGCTTAAGATGGTTGTAGTATTTTAACCGCAACCCCCTATTAAATCTATTAATTATACCAATGAAGTTGAGAGTGGAAAATATTATGCAGCAGTTGGAATTAAAAGGTGCTCATTTTGCAGATATTTTATTTCCATGGAGGGCTAAAACTGCATTTTTATAAAACTACATTTTTGCTTTCCRTAGTTAAGCAACAAAGAGATACTCAGTCGCTGATCAAACATTAGATCAAACATTCTTTTGTGCAGTACACTGGGACTTCAGCAATTTGTGACCTTTCCTAGGTTATAATTTAAGTTATATCTTTAAGGCAGAGATCATATGTCTGATTTCACAACCTTTGCCGTTACTTAACATAGTTAGGGACCCTGAGCTGCAAAGAGGTATTCTTTTTTCAACACTACCACTACGATAAATCYTTACATAAAAAGAAAAAGTAATACTTGTAAATGTTTTCTTGCACTGCAGTAGTTAGAATGGATTAAATATACACATAAATAGAGAATTCAGATTTGTTAGGTCCGATTCTCTGGACAGGTATCCACACCAGAAGTAGCATCCTTGAGGCCCAAGTCCTTCAGTGACAGGGATTTCATGAAGTGCTTCGTATAGTGCAGCCAAAGCTCTCGGGATTAATTACAGTCATTGGGCTCACGAGTAGGACCAGTGCCCTCCCATTTTCTCTCCAGCTCAGACGGGGTGCAGATTTTTGTAAACTTTTATGCCCTGTCTTGAGGAACATTTCACCTAAAATAAAAAGTCCAAAGGGTAGACCATGGACCATGGCAAAAAGCTATTATCATCATGTGTATTTTGTGGTGTTGTATCATCAAATATATTGTGGCAACAAATATGACTGATTAGGGCGCCTATCCTGCCACCAAATCAGCACAAACTCACCCTGCTCAGCCTCAGTGCATGTTCCTGCAAGAGCAAGAACTAGAGTTCAAGTCCACTGTAAGATACAAGGGTGCCTCAAGGCTGGTGTTCATCTGGCTCCCAAAAATATATCCATCTGACATGCTTTGTAGTCAGTGCAGAAAGTAGAATGCGATTCCTGGRAACTAATTATATTTTCCAAGATGAAAAACTTTTAACTGTCCACTTCTGTCTGTGAGTATGAAGTGACCCTAAGGTGACAAAGTCAGATGTGGACATCTATACTGCAGTCCTCCACAGCTGATGGATCCTATCACAAGCACTTTGATATGAATTGCAGCATACATAGATTTTCACAACTGCCTTTCTGGAATAGTCTAGGCACACACGCAGTGTTTTGCTTGGGCCAGGGAGGCAATGTAATTAGGCCCAACTGCATGCACAGTGAGCGTGTGGTGTCTCAGCTGACTGTCTTTTAGCAGTGAAGTAGGAGGCAGTTTGCAAGCTTCCTGTGCATGGTGTGTGGGATGTTTGCACATCCAGAATATATTTCTTACTTTTAGGTGTTCATATATAGTAGTCATTGAAATGATTGAAATGAAATGGAATTTTTTCTTGACTTTAATGGGATTTGTTTGAGTTCTTCATATACAGCCCACGAAACAACAAAATGTGTTCTTTTGACATTGGAACTGACTTTTCTCATCTTTGTTTCCCATCTTACAGAGTGCCTATCGAGTCTTCACTAACAGTACCTGCTTGAAGCACATGATCCTGAAGATCCGTAGAGATGCTCGTAATTTTGAACGCTATCAGCACAACAGAGACCTGGTAAATTTTATCAACATGTTTGCTGATACCCGTCTGGAACTTCCTCGTGGCTGGGAGATCAAAACTGACCAACAGGGCAAGGTAAGAGCATCAACAAAACTCATCACATTTTACTCTGTGATCACTCAGGGTTCTTTCTTGACTCAAAATTGGCTTAAACAACACAGGCAGCAAGCAAAGTTATTCCAGGAGTTGGAAAAAAAGCTTCAAGATAATGTTCTAGACCGTAGTGGTGACCCCAGCTTTCTGTGGGGTATCACACATGGCCAGGGCAGTGTTGGACTAGCAACAACAGCAAAATTAAGCCTGAGTTTAGATGTGTCATGACTGCAAAATTTGRCTGTTTGTCTCTATAATGCTTTGCTGGGTGACTTCTTGAACCATCACATAGATTAACAAATGTTCCTTGATAGTTCTRTACTTTTCTGTTGTATTTATCTTGTGATCATTGCACATTATTTTTAGTCATGTAACATTAGGTATTTTCGGTGAGCAGTTCTAGCTCAGTGTGGAAAGCCCCRTTCCTCACAGATACCCTCCACAGGTTGGGCCTGAAGAGGAGATTTCAGGAACCCAGTCACCAGTGGCTGACAATTTGTAATCCCCCAGTTCTGACTACTGGGCGATTTGACAATGTGTAATCCCCCAGTGCTGCCAGTTTTGACTACCTTCTTACAACAACAAACAAACAAACAGCAAAGCAACCAACCGAACCCTTTTTCCTGCGTTACAGTCTTTCTTCGTCGACCACAACAGCCGTGCGACCACTTTCATAGACCCCAGGATCCCCCTGCAGAACGGCCGTCTCCCCAACCACCTGACGCACCGGCAGCACCTGCAGCGGCTGCGGAGCTACAGCGCTGGGGAGGTAACGGGGGGAGCCGCTCAGCTCTTCTTGACATTAATCTCTGCAGAATTACAGACTCTTCATGTTTGGAAGTGCTTGAACAAATTATCTTGCAGATTTTCCAAATCTGCATTTCCAAATCTTCCAAAGCAAGTGAGCGGTCTCTTTTTTTACTGTAGGGTTTCTCTAAGAGCCTGCAGGTTATGAAGGTTTGTCTTTTGACCCTTTTCAGAATAGAATAATAAATTGATAAAGCTAAATAACTGAAGTGAAATTATGACAAAGTTAGATTTATAATTCGTTGTTTTTTTTTAATATCCTCGTCTTGCTTTAGTAAAGGCAAATCATTAATTATTTTTATGGCCTGATACTTTAGCAGCCTCAAATCTTTCTTCAGTTCCCACAGTGACCATGTTCTAAAGAGATATACCCTAGCAAGTATAATAATACTTGTTGGCATTTGCTTCCTTAACCTTCCAATCAGGCTAAACAGTCTTTCCTACATTTCATGGGGCTGATTTTCACYAAAGAGCAGTATGGGCAGGATGACTGAAGCATAAATCCCACTGCTGTATCAGGAGGCAAAAGTACCAGCAGTCACATTGCTCTTGTAGAAAATTCATACTAGCAAGGATTTGTAGGTGGATGAACATTAAAATGTACTGTACCAGATTCAGTTTGCATCCTTCCTACTGCTTGGGATCAGAAGGTGGAGAGGGTGTGAGTTCAGAGCCAAAGGCAGACCAGGCATAAGCAACTTGGATGGGTTTTACCCATCTTGGATGAATACAGCAAAATACTTTTTGCAGATTAAAGTATTTCTGCCTCATCTTCCCCCCAGTTAGCAATTTCCTGCASTTTAGTGTTGCTAGTGTGTCCGAGTCAAGTGATGTGAATGCAAAAGTCACCCTCACAAGGATTCAGATCTGGGCCCTGGTTTGCCCACAGCTTGCTTATGTATTCACCCAGTGAGGCACAGGAACACCACAGAGTGACTCAGCAAACCCAGCATGACAAACACACTTTACTCTGGTAGCAGGACTGGCAAAGAACAATTTGCAAGAAACTCAAATTATCATTTACAGGAAGAGGTGAGTAGTTTTGACAATGACCCTGGGGCAATGGCCARCTCTTGGCCAGGTGCACCGGTTTGGCACGAGTAGCCCAGCCCTGGCACGAGAAGGGAAAGGGGCTTTGTGTCTGGGCAGCCCTAAGTGCTGGCGCCCTCCCCTCGCTCCTGGCAGGGCCTGGGCAGCTTCCCACGCTGCATCCACCTTCTGCAGCCTTGGCATCGGTGCTAGCTTCCCATCCAGGGGCATCTGCTGCTCCACTGGAAGGACTCCCATTGATTTCCACAGACTTTGCATCAGTGCTTAAAACCCCGCATTTACAAGGAGAAGATTCAGCCCTTCGAAACTCAGCCCATATATCAAGAGCTCTGTGTTTCACGCTCTTTTTTCCACGTGTATTTGGATGTGCTTTGTGCCTGTAAATCAAGAACACACTCAAGGCTTTGTCCTGGCCCTGTGTCAGCTCGCTGCGCTCCAGCGGGTTTCTCTGCTGAGCAGGTGGTGCAGCCTCTGGAATCTGCCACCGGGACTGAATCTATCACCAGGACTGTGTGAAGAACCAAGAAAGACAACCASCAGCCTTGGGCTTTGCACACAGGTGCCAAATGAGCCTCTGGCACATCTGCAGTCATGATTCCTTGTGGGTGCCAGGGAGAGGAAGGAGCCAGTGTGCCGAGAAGCAAACCCCCCACACGTGCCTTGCACTCAGCTGACATCCTACCCTGGTGCCAGTAGGACTCACCGACCCTCTGTGGACTTCCCAAGGGCTTCGTGACACTTCGTGACCGACTGAGGAAATAGCAGATAAAAATCATAGGCACATGAGCCCAAATTGAAAAAGAGAAATCCCCCAGTTTCACCTGCTCAGGATATCTCTGAGCTGAGTCACATGCAGGAGTGATGGTTGTTGGAGAAAACTGATCTCAGTAGCCAACTGTGGATAAACAAAGCAAAAGTAATGTCTGGAATTTTTAGAAAATGAATAGAAAGGTCTATTTAATCTAGGAGAGGACAAGTATTACAAGAATTAAATGTTGCACGTTCAACTGAAAGGAGGGCAGGGTTGAAATTCAGTGAGAACTGTTGACCACAGGAACTAATGATTTTTCATGAGCATCAGGTCCCCRTTTCTTCAGATCAAGAGTACTTTTCTGGATGATATACTGTGAGCAAAACCAAATTCCAATTTACTTACTCAAAAGCTCCCCTATTAGAGGTAGGGGTTGGATGGTTTGGGGTATCCAACTAGGGAACAGTGATCTCCTGCTCTCCATTCTGTGACATCCATCAATCTTCTAAGTCCTTTTGTATCCTTAAAATGTGGCTTTGATTCCTACCTAGTATAAACTGTGATGTTGACTAGGCTACCTCTGCACCACTGATAAAGATACCATCTTTCATATTTCAAATATACTTTTAAGGCTCCCTTGTGAAATTGGATCATATAAATGTGCTTTCTCAAATCTGGTGGTTTTCTTTCTGATGCTTAGAATTCCTTCTAAGTAGAGGATGAAGAGAATGGTCACACAGTTTTTATAGACCTTTGTTGGTTATTTCCAGGCACTTTTATTTAAGTCTTACCTCAGCTACTAGCAGGCCAAGCAGAGATTCACAATGCCCCTTTTCCTCTTAATCTATATATTGTGGATTGCATTAAAAAAAGCAATTTGTGCATATAGTAGTACTCCATTCTATGAAGAAAGAAGACATTCACTTTATAAATGACTGTGTAATATTTATGCTTTTCTTTATGTTGAAGTAGTCTTCTAAATGAAGGATATCTGTTGAAGTTTTTGACATCCMTCTATGTAGATTCTTGATATTAAATGGTGATACACATGAATTTGACAAAACACTACAGATACTTCAGTACACTTCCTTTTCCTTCAAGTAAAAGCATGAATATTACAGATAAAAAGTCATCGATGCAGCTCTTGGTTACCTGATTTTTGAAAAAAGCTGTTAACTGTATGGGCATCCATATCTCAAGAACCAAGGGCAGCATGTGCTTCAGTCCCCTCTGCCATTGCTGCAAACAAAGCAGGTGAGGAGCACAGAACATTCCCTGTAGGAAAGTTCTTTCTGCAGTGGAAGTCACCACGTGTGGTGACAGTGTGTAGAATTTTAAAGCCATCCATCAYGGAGAAGCAGGGCTGTAGCAACAGACCATCTCCTTACTGCCTGACCAAAACCACATGCAAGCAGCAGGAGTCACACAACCTTTTAAGTCAGCAGTGATATAAAACCCAGGGAAGGGTATTATGTCACTGAAAGGCTGCTGGTTTGTTGTGCACTCTCGTTGCAACATCCCAGGATCAATAGCAAAGCTGTTAAACCCTGTCTATAAATTTGTCAGATTGCCCTGCACTAGATGAGCTGGGTCACTAATCATTAGCAAGGTCACTTTTTTTTGTAATTAGAAAATAATGTACTCATCTAAATTAAATGATTAAATTAGAATGTCAATGCAGACAAGGCCATTGTAATTAAACAGTGAATTGGAGCAATCAATTAAGCTGTATTAGCTAAAAGATTAGGAGGAATATTAGAAAAGTAGAAGTTAATTAGACAGCTGGGAAATTTTGTTGTGTTGTTTAGAGATATGAAAGTATAAAGACACTGATCCAAACATAGTGTTAGTGATGCCTACTGATGGTGATGAAGAGAATTACAGCACCCCACAGCATGGGTTTATTCTGCTAATCCAGGGATGGGCCAGAGCACGGCCTTCAGCTGCCCACAGAAGAAAACAGCCAAGAGACATTCCCAGAAGGACTTTTTGTCCATTGTGGCAGTGACTTACGGTTTTCGTCTTGGGCCTAACCTTCATTCTTCTTCCACTGGATAGATGGAAATGGGTGCTGTACAGGCCACGTGGTGCCCGTTACAGTGGCTGCCAGGGTCACAGGATCAGAGCTGCCTCAGCCTGATCCTGAGCTGCAGTTCATAGTGTCCACGAGCCCATGGTGACCTGACAAGGAGGTGGAAGGAGAGGGGAGAAGATTTARTGGAGCAGAGAAAGGCCTTGTGTCCTGCAAAGGCTTCAGAACGAGACGTAGAGAGGAAGCCAGTGAGAGCAGAAAGGGTGCACCTCAAATCTCTCCCTTAAYGGGGCTAGAAGTGTATTTGGGAGGGAACGTGGCAATTTCACAGCTGAGGCTTTCTCGGCACCTGTGCAGCTTCTGCCCAAAGTGCAGATCATAGAATCATAGAATGGTTAAGGTTGGAAGGGACCTCAGAGGTCATCTGGTCCAACGCCCTGCTCACGCAGGGTGACCCAGAGCACGGGGCACAGGGCTGTGTCCAAGTGGGTTTTAAAGATCTCCAAAGAAGGAGACTCCACAACCTCCCCGGGCAGCCTGTTCCAGGGCTCTGGCACCCTCACTGTCAAGAAGTGTTTCCTTAAGTTCCTGTGGAACTTTTGGTGCCTCAGCTTGTAGATGTTGTTACAATTGCACCAATCCCTGTGGCATTAGTTGCTGTTGCAGTTAGTACATTGCATGTAACTTTCTTGGCAGTTCAGCCATTAACTGCTTGTTTTTAAAGGTGAGAAGGCCTGGGCCAAGATTAGCACGTCAGTCTATTAAATACTGCAGGTTTGACTCTGTTCTCCGTGGCACCAACATAAGTCTCATACAGTCAGCAGACACTTAACCAGCATAAAATGTGTGCARCTGAAATCATAATTGCTGGATGTAGCAAAAGTTCACCCTGCACTTTCACAGCAAGTTTTGTGCTTTCAGTTCAAGTGCATTTAATTAGAATCATTAGGATTTTTTGTTGTTTAACCTGTGTATTGGCCAGCATCAAGTGCATTGACTGGTATCTGGTTACATATAAACATTTTATACTTCACATGTTCCAAGGCAACACGCCAGTCACATTTAGCTTCTCGGCTTTCGTTTCTGCCAGCTGGAAGACCTGGCATTTAGCTGTAGCGCTGCAAAAGGATTGGCACTGTCTGCTTGGATGCAAAGCTGGGCATTTAGAATATTGGAGAACGGGCAATTTCTTCCTGAGGTAGTTGCCAAGTCCTACCATTTGTTCTGTGAGGAAGAAGGAGACATCAGCCTAGCAGAGTGGCAATGGGAGCTGGTGCACACTTTGCCCTGACTTTGCTTGCACTGATTTGGGCTCCTCTGGCTTCACTGTGGCCATATCCTTAAGGAACACATATAGAGAGAAGTGAGTTCACCTAAGACAGCAGAATTCCACCCTGCAAGTGATGACTTCTTGATGACAGGTTGCCAGACCTTGCTATATGTCTCTTATTATCCTCCCATCTAAGCGCTTTCCCACTCTTTAAAGTGTCTCCCCTGCCAACATAATTCCCTTAACTAGATCGAGTACTTCGGACAGTGGCTTTCTTTAAATTAAATGCTCCAGTTATTTAGTAGTCATAGATTTCTTTCTTACTGCTCTTTTTATCTATACTTAAGATCATGTTCTTTTTTTTTTTCAGTGTTTACACTTCAACTTCTAATTCAATAATGCAAGTTAGGCAACCCCCTTCCCTTTGRGATAATATGATTCTTTTCTTTGCTGTCATCTTCATAGATATATCTTTTACCATGTTAATCCAATATTAAATTTTCCTTCAGCAGTGGTGAGTGAACATGATGCAGTTCTTTCATTTTTTTGTTTGGTTTTTTTTTGATTAATTAATATTACTGTAAAATCCTTGAAGTACATAGAGTCAAATTGAAATAAGATATATTATAGAATTTTTATTTCATTGAACCAGGGTACTTTGTCACCATAAGCCCTGTGTTTACCTATATGTACTTCTGGATTCATGGCAGGATGCGAGAGAGGTAATAGCTGTGGATAACGGCATCCCTTGGTTTGGAAGCACAGCAATGGCAGCCTCTTTTGTGCTGGCTGAAGCATAAAGCTCTAATTTCCTTGTAAACTTTCTGTCTTTCAGTCAGTCAGCATCACAAACCATCCTAAAGTCACAGAAGATCAGAAACCCTTCTTTCCTCACTATTGCCCTGCTGATGGTCCATTTTTCTCCTTTTCCTCCTTTCCTGCCCTGTTACAGGCCTCCGAAGTCTCGCGGAACAGAGGAGTGACTCTCCTGGCCAGGCCAGGCAATAGCCTCGTGACAGCTATTCGAAACCAGCACCAACACGAGGCGTTACCTCTGGGTAAGGCAGCTTTGGGTTTTCTTTTGCAAGCAGCACCCACAAAGATGASCACTAAGACTACTCATCAACCACATCCCCTGCTCCCTGTTGCTCTGTGCCTCGCTAGCAGTGCCATCAGTGTGACCCAACATGGTCACCATGACCTCCAGAAGGGCCCGCCAAGGATGAAGAAAAGCCTCTGTGTTTTTTCTTTTTCCCTTTACAGCTTACAATGACAAGATTGTTGCTTTTCTACGCCAACCCAACATCTTTGAGATGCTGCAGGAGCGTCAGCCCAGCCTGGCCAGAAATCATGCGCTCAGGTAGTCTTTCTTCCAGACTGCTGAAATTAAGTTCTGAGAATGGCTTTTGTAGGGAAAAAAAAATATCTATTTGTTATAATAAAAAGGATGAACTCAGGGCCCAGATAAAACTATCACCATTAAAGAGTAGGCATGAGCCACCAGAACCTAGGAAGTTTTAGCTGCCCGAGAAGTAATAAGAAGAAAAGTAACTGTGGGCAAATAATGACAAATCTAATATCCACTGTAAATACTACTAAATAGCAGAAACTCTGTGGATAGCCAGACTTTATCTATAATTATCACCTTATTTTTCAGAAGATGGGGTAAAATTGTGACTCAATGGAGATCAWCAGCAAAACTCCCAGTAACTCCAGTGGAACCAGAATTTTACCTCATGGTTCGATTTACACCTTTGCTGTGAGCATAGTCACCCTAGATTTTGTGAAGAAATGGAATACTGTGAAGTAGATTTTCCCATCTTCATAGTGATGATTTAATAACAATCTTTTTAACCCAGTAGGTTTAAAAAAAAAAAAAGAAAACAAGAAAACATGGAACCAAAGCCAGTACAGTTTTGAACATTGTAATTCCAAAAGTTAAATTAATTACTTGGGCCTAGGAACTGAACTGGTGTTAGTCAGTCCCAGTTAGCAGTGCCCATGTGCACCAACTAAGTCTTTGACCCAAGCTTTTTGTATGTGCTGTGCAGCAAGGACATCAGCAAGTTGCTGGGGGGTGAGAGAACAGGGAGCTAAAGAGGGCAAGGAGAAGGACCTTCAAGTTTCTCCAGTGTATCTTCTGCTGATAGCCCTCCCAGCCTGTCATTTACCATGAGGGCCAGACAAAGAGTTCTTTGGGTATACGGATTAGACTCACTTCCTGGGGGAATGAATACATGCAATTAAAATTAGGGAGACAGAATGAAAAATGCTTCCAGTATTCAAGATTTCTGTAACTGAGATTTTTTTATCTTCACCATCAAATTATTCCAGACTATTATTTTTTAACGGGTGTAATTTGAATTCTCATTCCTCAAAGAACAGATGATGCTTTTATCTCCTTTAGAGCAGAGAACAAAATTGACTAGTGATGGGGACCAGACAGCTTAGCCAGGGCATAATGAGATTTGTAACAGGATATTGAGCCCTTCACCTCAGGTCACTGCTTTGATTATAGCTTAGGTCAGGAGCGATTCAGCGCTACCATCTGATGCCTCTTCAGTAGCCCTTGTGAAAKGGGCTTGTTGGTCTTGCACAAATCCTTAGGAGAAAAATGTCCATCTTTTGCTTGACTTGAGGTAGAAACCTTGACTTAATGTTAGAATGAATATTCTAGGATATTCTAATGTTTGAAAAGCAGAGGAGGAGTTAGGCTGGAGTGTAGCTCTATGTCTTGGCATGGTCCTACACTGCTGGTACAATCCGGTCTTGTGCTTCCCACTCTTACTGGCATTCATTATATGATAAAGTATGTGATTTTATACATATGGTATATAACTCTTTTGTGACCTATTGATACCAAGTTTAGATTTGTTAGAGCTGTCATTTTCCAGCTAGAACTGACAGAGATAAAGAAATATTATATGAAATTACTACAGAAAGTTGGTGTGTGAGTTGAAGCCTTAACTAAGGTAAAGTCTCACAGTAGAATAAGCTGCAGTGCTACACATGTGCTCAGAGGACTAAGAATCATTCTGTTTTCTAAAACAGGATATAAAACATCTTGCTTTAGGGCCAGCAAATGGAGTAGCATAAATAGATTCTTTTTTTGCAGGTTTATTTAATGAGTTTAGAAAATGAATCAGGGCAGTTAGGATATTTGCCATTTTTGTAAGGACAGAAAATGTTGCTGGCAAAATACTGAGAAATAATAACTTTATCAGTAGTTCATGCCTTTATAATGTCTTGTTTTCTTTTATTTTTTTTCCCTTTCTCCTCTTTTCAGTAATATAATTTATGTTTCAGGGAGAAGATCCATTACATTCGGACAGAGGGTACACATGGCCTTGAAAAGTTGTCCTGTGATGCAGATTTAGTAATTCTTTTGAGGTAATCAATTTGACCAAAAGCATAATATTGTTACTTATGGTGCYGAGAAACCTGGCTGGCTTTTTTTTCGCCATAATTGACAAGATTGTGTTAAACCTTCCAGGCCATTTGTCATTGGAATAGGATTTCATTGTTACTGATAGGCACGCAAAATAATTCTGCTGGAGTGCATCAGTCAAATCTTGCTTTCTGGAAGCCAGTCTCCAGTGATGCAGTGAACTCCAGCAGCAGCCAGCAAGTCGATCAATATGGCTGTTACCATTAAGTAATTAATGAAGAATCAGATCAAAATGTTTCCTGTTGATGGAAACACTCTTGTTTTCAAAAAAAGAGGAAAAAAACTTCGTTTTCTCTGTACAAATGGAGAATTCAGCTGTTCATGAAATTGCCAGTTCTACTACTGCAGCGTTGCCCACACAAGCTGGGCAGTGTCACAGTAATGAAACGTCGAAGCACAGTACAGTGAGTGATTTGGGGGGTTGTAATGAAGACTTTATGTCATAGTTACTTTTGCTTAACACAGATAAGAACTTTTGTTGTCATTGTTTTGGGCTTTCACAGAAAATACACAGAGCAGCACTACCTAATGGGAGAACTTTGCAACTTGCTCCCAACACCTTCATATGAATGGCCAAAGTGCCGTGCAGGTGTCTCTGTGAAAATATACACCCAAAGAGAAATAAGCTGGAAGACAGATGTGCCTCCTCTTTACTCATTTCCAACCACTGGATGTTGGAAATTTACCATTTACCACATATTCTCAGGGCTTAATTCTCTCTCAGTAGACTGAGGCCTTAGCATGAAGTCTAATCAAACTGCATATTTATATCCCTTCATCTGATGAATGTGAACCAACCTCTCTCTCTCATTTTTCCACACAGCCTTTTTGAAGAGGATATTATGTCCTACATACCACTGCAGGCTGCCTTCCATCCTGGTTACAGTTTCTCTCCTCGTTGTTCACCCTGCTCATCACCTCAAAATTCTCCAGGTAAGGAGAGGGAGAGGCATTACAAAAACTTGCATTTGGGGTATTTCTCCACCTAATAATTACAAGGGAGCAAACTGAGAGCTAATGTAAATTACCACTCCACTGATTTCAGTGCCCACTTCGAATCTGCCCCACACTGTGCTGCATCTCTGCATCTGTTCCCGTTCCTGTTACATGTTTGCTGCAATGTTAAAATGGCTGGAAGACAGAAACTAGGAGTTGTCAGTATAGGAGAAAGTATTGTCCTGCTTTCCAAGTAGCCAGGGAGGATTAGGATAAGAAGAGAATGGTGATTGCCAAACATAACTCAAGGACATGGAAGTACATTCATGGGTATTGACATTAGATWAAAGGAGCAAAGAGCAATTTCTAAGTCACAGGTGTATCACAATACTTCCAGTAAACTCCTGTGAAATATTCCTGTGGTGTTAACTCTCCTCCACATTACGTTCTAAAGACTTTGCTTCTTCCCAAGATTCATCTGTTTTAAGACTTGAGGGGAACATCTTGATTGTCTAGTCTGACCTCCTGTGTTGAGCTCATTAACTTCTGTTTGACAGGAAACGTATTTTCCAGGAAGATATGCTGTCTGAGAAGGTTATTTCCAGCTGTGACATGTCTCTGTAGTTATTGTTTATGCTATAGAAATTTGAGGAGCAAATGCCTCCAATTTGCCAAGATACACAATCCCTACCACAGCCTCCCTGCTTGGCTGTGTCCAGAGGCCATTTTCAGAGAATGGATAGAAATGTGATCTTAAGAAATCCATTTTTGGCTGAACTTTTAAAAGTCCATTTCAATTATCTGGTTTCAACCAAAATTTATAGGGGAGAGATGTCCAAATCTTAGAGATGGCTTAGAAAATTCACTGATTCTTTCTTCTTATGTGCAAAACTTAAACACTGAACCCTTGTCTATAGGGCCATGGTATTTAGTGGGAATGCCTGTTGTCACAACAGAATTGGAACACCATTATACACTTCTCTACATCAGCATAGGTCAGAAATAAGACTATTGTAAGACCAAACTAGAAGTATTCCATCAATACAGTAGGCAGGAGTTATTAAAAGAACTGCAGGAGCTTCTGCTTCTTGTGAAAAGCCGCGAAGGGCAAATACTAATTTCAGAGAACATATCGTCTGTCTCCTCATTTCTGCTACTGGTTACATAGCCCTTGAGAACCACCATCTCTTATGTCATGGGGAATAATATCTAATAGAAGAAAGGAAGTGTCGCAAGGGATTCCCTTGGTACAGCATGTAAATATGCCTTTCTTTTTCACCAGCACAGACAATTAGTAATGTCTTTCCCTCCTGGCAACCCAGACTGTACTCCCTCTAAATGCACTAAATGTGATTTTTTTTTTTTTTTTTTTTTTCCTTCTTACGGAGGATTTTCTGCCAGATTTCTCATAAAAGGCCTTGTTTTTATTGTCTTCTCTAACGAGATATGGAAATTGGATTTCATGGATCCATTCTTTGACCCGTTTATGTCATGACACTTGCTTATACAAAAGGACTAATCAGCTGCTTTGAGATTGCAGACTTCAAAACAAAACAGGTCCCAAATCTGCTCTGTGTGTGAATCATAATAGGAAAATGTAGCATTTCTTCCTGACAGACGTCCTACTTGAAGCCACAAAGGATTTTTGTGTTGATGGCTGGAAGTGTTTAATGTACAGTCAGATTATCTCTGGGAAACCCGATTCCCAGCTTGGCCTCGGCTCTGGCCTCAAGACAGTGGCATTAGTTTGAGCTCGAGAGGTTTAATCCTGCCAAGTAACGAGATCTCCTATGCAAGGCCAAGGAGAGTGTGAAAGGGGGAGAAAACCTAAAACCAGCAACCATCACCGGGAATTACTCATGTCAATCTTACTCATGCCTTTCTGATCCCTGAATTTCCATTCAGATCAATTATAGTTGAAGGCTCAGGCAACAGAAGGGTACACACAAAGCCAGCTTAACCACTGAATTAGATGTATTCCCTGGAAGTCTTTGGAATCCCTGAATTATAGGAACAACTCCATTAAATTCAGGTGGAACATAAAATAATTTGCGCACAAAAAGCCTTCATACTCCTGTAAAATGCTCCTACTGCTTTTGTTAGCCAGTAGCATATGGAAACAACACCGCATGTTTTGGAATGATTTAAAGCCTCTTACACTTTTGGGAACTGCTTTTTCTTTTCCACCAGGACTACAGCGAGCTAGTGCAAGAGCACCCTCTCCATATAGGAGGGACTTTGAAGCCAAGCTACGTAATTTCTATCGAAAACTTGAAGCCAAAGGATACGGGCAAGGTCCAGGTAAAATAAAGTGAGTATTATGGCAAGTCTTTCAGACAGTCTAGCATGGCATAACTTGGTCTTTTTTCATGACTCCTGATTCACTGATAGGGAATGGGAAACACATCCGAGAGTGCAGTTTGTAAATCAGTCATCAAGATGAGATAAGACCTTAGTATATCCTGAAAAAGAGTGAGGTCTGTATTTAACAGAGATATTAGTATTCTTACCTTTAAGTTTGCAGTAGGAAAATGTCTGTGGTAATGAACTAGACATTACTGCTGGCTTTACTGCATCATTGTAATGATGGAGTAACTCCAAATCCTTTGAATCTATGTATAGTATAACTCAGGATCAGAGCCTGGCTGTACAGATTTTAGCTTGTCCTTGTGGATTTGACTTTCAGTAGCTCTTTGTGTTGGTAGCCCTCCTGGATTTGAGCTATCAACAGCTCTCCCTCTGTTTGTGTTTTCTGGGGATCTGTCTCTGGGCCCCATGTCACTGGGGTTGGAGTTTGCTTCCAGGGCAGCCTGGCAGGTTAATTGTGACTCTGGTGAGCCTTGCGCCCTGCTTGTGCTAGTTATCCTACTTGGCTAAAGGGCTGTATGTTCCTAAGGTATTTCCTGGGCATCTGGTTAAATTTATGCATCGGATTGGCTTCCTACCAAAATACATCTGTTGTGGGGAAAAAAAAAATGAAACGAGGCAATTTACTCCAGACAAACGTCATCAGCAAAATATTCCTGCAGAGCTGGGGAATCCTAGTCATTGGTGGTTTTCCCTTTTCGGAGTCCTGTTAAGTGGATCCAAGGCAGACACAAATTACATTCCAAAAGGTCTGTCTTAAAATGTCCATGTCATTTGAATAAGCAGGATTTCTTCCACAGACAGTGTTTAAATGCTCTATACATTGAGTTGTTTTAGAGGCTGGCAAAGGAGTAAGAGGTGTGTTGGATAAACAGAGGCTGCTACTCCCTTTCCTTACCCTGCTACAGATGCAGTAATTCCATGGACATTCACTGGATTGAACCCAGGGAGAGTGTGGGGCCAATCCAAGGACAGTGTCACTTCATATACGCAGGAGACTCAGCACCTCTACAGAGATTTCTATAAATAGAGGGTGTTACAGAGAGCCTGCTAGCAGTACCGCTGTGCTTGGGACCTAATCACAGCCTTATGAAGAAGTTCACCTGTGAGGCACATACACAGAGCAGCAGAATGAACTCAGGGAAACCTCATAATGGCCAACTAGTTTTATCACCAGTGGGTGCTAAYTTATCCACTTCTCAGAGGCTGAATCTGTCTCTTTACTAGCTCCTGTTTACCTTCAACCCCRCCTCCTCACACCAGGCTCAGTCATTAGATCTCGATTTCTGCCTCCCTTTGCAGGTTAATTATACGGCGTGATCACCTGCTCGAAGGCACCTTCAACCAGGTCATGGCCTACTCACGCAAGGAGCTCCAGCGGAACAAACTCTACGTCACGTTTGTTGGAGAGGAAGGGTAGGGAACTTCTGACTACTGCCAGCTGTGAAGTAGCTGTTACATTGCAAAGCATGGCAAGAATTGGCCAAAACTGAGCCTCTCTTGATATATGTTGTTCTTTATTTTGGTTTTTGTTTTGCATCTGTGTAAGTGAGATCCACTTCAAGTAGCTCATACATCTGTTAAAACTCCCAATAGCAAAAATATTTCATCTTCCTGCAGTACCATCAATCTAGGTGCCTTAAAGTGCCCCTTTAAGAGGTTAAATCTAATGTTACCCTGATGCCCTAGATATTTTTGTTGCATGGAAGGTGAAACAAACTACAAACTCATCATTACACACTCRGTCACTCTCAGGACTAAAATCAGAGACCAGAGATCCATTTTACTACTATACCTCTTCAAAATGGAATGTTTTTTTGTTCAAACATTTTTTTTTCATATGGCATCTGAGGATCATTTGCTACCAATGTGTGAAGTTCTTGTTTCTGGTGAAGTGAGAAGCATCAGTGCTATTAAAAAAAAAACAACAGTCTTTACAGTTTAATTCACCCAACTGGAAGCTGAATGCAATAGAATCCTCTCAAGGAGAATCTCAAGGAGACCTTTTCTTGGGAGACTTTCTATGGATCTAACAAACGGAAGGGCCATTCATGTATGTTTAAGTAAGACATGGAGCTTTTGTTTCCACATCTAAACAGAACCTTTCAAAGTCCCCCTTGCTCACCTCAAGAGCTACGTTATAATTGAGGCTTATTTTACAATGGAAAGACCACGATGCTTATTTCTATTCTATTTCAATAACTCTGCATTAAAGTCTCTTAAAGGAAAAAAAAAATAAAGGCAAGGATAGGATTTCAGGATGCTGGAATAGTTTCAGTTCCAAGGCTGCTAGAACAGTAAAACTCAGGGACACCATCAGAGGGTCCAGCAGCCTCTGACACCTTCAGCCCTGTCAAGTGAAGAGCTTCTGCAGAGCTGAATTTGCCTGGAGACGTGGTAGGTGCAGGGGGAAGTAGAAGCCCCCAGTCTCCATATGAGTTGCTCCCCCGACATCAGTTTAAGGGGATTTATTAACACCGCTTTTTAGACTCTGTGGATTCAGTATCTTCTAATGAAAGCCTTCTTTTACATATGGTTTTGCCCCTGGCTCAAGTAAGGCATAACCATGCAGCTCAGCTCAGTTTGTGTTTTGGAGTTGCATTCTAGTGTGCTAACACTGGCCAAAGTCATGTTATTTTCCCCACATCCCTAATCACTTTTGCTATGTGTAGTACATTATCCTCAGGAAACTGCTGAGTTTGCACTTTCATGCTTCCTTCACTGTTTCATKTACATCTGAGGATACATTCGCCCGGGGTTTCTGCTCTTTAATGCTAACAGAGATTCTGCTGGAGGGACTCCAAAATTGCAATTTCCCATTTGGAAGAGGTGATGCACCATGGCTACATGCTGCTGTATGGCCATAGCTTCCACCATTGGCTTCCCAGCCAAAATGATGTTGAAAATGAACTATGAAGAGTGTGGGTGTTGCTCAGAAATGTAGCATCTAGTCTCTGTTCTTGAATATAGACAGGTGTTGTTTGCTCTTCTTTACTCCAACTGTCGTGAGTCTCATCCTAGCATCTCCGAATCTATTGAGCCAGATTTCATACGCATTTTACGCTAGTCCAAGGGGGATTATTACCATCCTCTTTGCCTTTGTATAAAGTAAAACAGGAAAAAGATGCGCCAGCCTGCCCCTAAGCTTCTGTCTAGTTGCACCAGTCAGTCATTCAGCCCTTTGTGATTGTGCTTCTGTAAACCTATTGTAGAGTATTCTGAGTCTTACGTAGAAGTACTGCCTGCCTCAGAAACTAGCACACGTGTTATATGGCTAGAAATCATTATTTCTTCTTACCACATGGGCATTTATATGAGATTGAAAAACCTACCTACCATTATTACAGAATGATCTGGTTTTAATACATCTATCACAGTCAGGATTAAAGTATTCATGCAGGTTTTTGGTTGTGTTTTGTATCCTGTTGCTTTGTAGGTTGGACTACAGCGGCCCATCCCGAGAATTCTTCTTCCTACTGTCTCAGGAGCTCTTCAATCCCTATTATGGGCTGTTTGAGTACTCAGCCAACGACACGTACACCGTACAGATCAGCCCCATGTCTGCCTTTGTGGAAAACCACCTGGAATGGTAAGGATGTCTTGAGGGAATTGAATGATCTTTTCACAGTCCTATAAAAAGGGAGAGGCAAAGCAAAAAAGGGTTTTAGGCTAGTTCACACATAAATGTTGCTGCTGCTTTTGGGAAGATTAAGAGAAGAAAGGGTAAGTGTAAACACAACAGCAAACCCTGAAAAGGGTGTGATCAGGTGCAATTATTAAAATGTCCTCAGGACTTGACATTTGATGATTGCATGCTTCTGTGTGCATGTGGAAACGATAGGGAGAAGAGGTCTGCTTAATCCAGAGCTCCTCTCCTTTCTAAGAATAACGTATGTTCTCTCTATACATCAAGGAACATTGTGCTTGGAAGCTGTACAGTGGCCTCCAAGCTCCACCCTGCCTTTCTAAACCTACGACAGGCCTTAAAAAGAAGTAGCTCTCCCCCTTTTCTCCCCGACARTGTCTCTGCTTCTATATGGCAAGGACGGTGGCGATATCAGGCTTTTTTACTGTATATGCATGGAAACAAATTGCTGATCTTTGTGTCACAACTTTTGAGAGCACATTGTGATCTCTCTATTTGTCTCTCTGCCTCCAGATCGCTCCGTCTTTGGGAGTTGTTTTCCCTTTGATAGTTTAAGATGTGGTTCAGTGAACCATGGGCTGCCAACCCAGGGCTTCGTTTGATCTCTTAAGGGATTTCATTGTGTCAAAGAAACACTGACACATGGGTTTCCTATGATGTTTTTCTTTGTCTAAYCAGTCTCACTGGCACCCCTCAGAGATGCTTTTTTTAGAAGGCAGTTTAGGCCCCTTCTAACTTGCAAATAGCACATGGCCATCTGTTCTTGTAAACTCTTCCCTTTTGCTTTGGCTTCCAGTGGGCAGAAGATCAAGAACAACAAAAGGGTTGTGCACCACCACCTCTCTTGAGCCTGCACTGGAGGGAAGGGGTRTCACGAGGATGTAGCAGGGGTCTCTGAACTGGTTTCTGTTTTATCACTCCCAGCAGTGGAGCTCCAAGCTGGTAATGATCCTTGCATTAGGCTGTTTCTATATTGACATTAGCAGGAAGAGAGTGGCTCCAATCTCACAACTCTTTTGCTCCCACTCCTGTCCATCTGTGAAGCATCAGTTAGTGGCTGGCCCAGTTTTCCAAAGGAAATTCAGCTTCAACTTGGTTTATCTTCACAGCCAGTACAGACTCCTGGTTGTGAAGATGCATTTTGGTTCCAGGCTACAGGAGAGCTGAGGCAGATGCAAACCYAAGGTCATTTAGCCACTCTGCACCTGGATGTGGTCCTGCTGCTCCAGGAGCTGTTGCCGTGTTAACCCAGCAGTGCTGGAAAGAGGAGCCCTGCCTCTTCCCCRTTATAAATACTGAATT